TAAAGCCACCCACTCAACTCAAAGCCTAGCCTCTTCCATAGGCAGGAAGGTACAGAGAATGGGCAGATGTTTTTTTCTTATACCTTTAAATTTCAGTCACTTCATAAAAATTTCCCAAATAGCATTTAAACAAGAAATCATCCTGGGGGTGATTAGTCTTACCCTTTAAGGACAATTTGTTTTTTCACTTCACGGTTTAACTTCTTCCTGGGATCACAATATGCTACTTAGATATTTGAAAGGTCATTTTATTAGGCCAACTGCAAAGAGTGCTCTTATGACAGCAAAGTTATGTAAAAGTAGAAAGAAGCTGTAAGTCAATTAGTATGTAAGATGAAGCAAAAAATGTGGACAAAGTTTCAATTAAATATGTACTTTTAAGCTCAATCTTGCTCAGATTCTGTGTTCAAATGGATCACTTCCAAGACCTCTGTGGCTCTACTTCAGTGTCTAATTGGCCCTACTCACTTTGACCTCCAGTAAGTGCTTTATAAATGTGATCCATCCAAGGGCATAAAAATGCCAATTCATGTAGGGCTGCCCATATTATTTTTATGTCTTTCCCCATAAAGTCTGCATTCTGAACATTTTAATAATGGCCAAATCATCCCAAGTCAACAGGAGATGCTAAAAAATGAGTTGGTATTTTATTCTTTTCCCTTCTTACTTGGAATTTACAAATATAACTGTCATCTAGTTACCATGGTGAGGCTATGAGTCAAATCTTCCTCCAAGTAACATAAACTTCTTAATACAGTCTTTGGAGTACTGATCTACCATAATAGTGCTAGTGTTTTGATGTTACCAGTATCTTTATTTTCTTTTGCTCTATGAGATGACAGGTTTTACATCTTCCTTTACTTACTGTAATTTGATGTTGCAAAAGCATTGCTAGTAAGCACATATGCTGAGTGACGATAATTGTATGGAAAGATGAGGGACAAATCCCTGTGACATAGTGTGTGTGCCCATACACATCTGTACATCTGAGCGTGTGCATGAAGGAATGTGTGTATCATGTGCATGTAAATCATATGATGGAGCTGAGAGCAACACTATACCCTGCTTGAGGGTAAGGCTTGTGTATGGTTCACTTGTACCTCTCCAGTACCTAACACTGTACCTGGCATGCAGAAAATATTTAAAGAGCATTTGATGAATGAGTAAGAGAAGGATACTAGTGCTCCATGTTCCCTATTGGCAAATGAGATTGTTTAAAAATGAGATTGGAGGTCCATCTATAAAAATCTGTTGTGAATTTGGTTTTTATAGGCTCATTTGTATGAAAACAGCATTATGTTAGAAGTCGTGAGAAAGGCAAGGCTATTCAACACACAGAATTTGGACTTGAGAAACTTCCAGTCTGGTTGGGGAAGCAAGACATACACAAGTGAAAATTTAACTCCTAATTCTAGAAAGAGTGATGGCATGTCAAATGTAATTTTTCATGCCAGATGTGACCACTGTATGAATTCAGAGTAAAAAGAGGCTTCTATGGACTGGAGTAATTAAGGAAAGCTATGGAAACAAGGCAAGAATTGAGGTAGATCTGTGAAAATAAAAGACAAAGGAGAAGGAAAGGAAATAGGAGTTCAGGAGAAATGGGGAGAGCACACGAAGAAGCAAAGTCATAAAGAAGGGAATAGATGTTTTGAGATTTAAAATTTAGGAAGCAGTCATCAGAGTTAGAAAAGGAAAGCTGATGGTAGAAACAATCAAAATAAGGAAATAGATAACCATGTGCATGCTGTGTAATATGTCACTTACACCAAAACTCTTTGGTGGAAAAAAAAGTAATGGTGAAACTTCAACACATTGTATATATTGCAAACTGGGAAAATGAGTGACATGTCAGAGGACCAGGGCTGGTGAGCAGCAAGTAGATATGTCAAAGCAAGAGGGAGATGATGGTGCATCTCTTCAGTGAGGAGGAACAGGCAAGGTGGGACCTGGGGAAGACCTCAGACATAGGATTCTGTTGCAAAAAGGCTTTTGATTTCAACACAGATATGACTTTCCCCAAATCTTATGTGATCTGAGGTTTTTCTGTAGCTACTGTTTGATTTCTACTTATTCTTAAGGGTACAAAGTGTTTAACTTGTAGGTATAATTATTCTGAAAACCAGGATGAAATGTGTTAAGAAAAAAAGTGGAATTTTGCCTTGAAGATATGGCACATCTATAAAAATCAAGAATAAATATTAAGAGCCTAAAGGAAAAGCAATCATAACAGATATTTAAAAGCAAATGGGGAGAGGGTCCTTCTTTTCTAAACATGTCCAGGAATTTCTATAAGTAATTTTTATTAAAGTTAATCATAGTCATGCAGATAAATCATCCATATATTGTATTTATGTGTAAGAATATGTAGAACAGATTTAGTAAAAAATTATTTTAAGTCTCAAATCATCTATCTCTTTCTCTATGGATTTGCTCCTTTTAATAAACATTTCACTTTGAAAGTTACTTGTATAGACACTTTAAGCTAACATTCATTAATGGGATATTGGTTAAATGAAAACTTAACTCCTGAGAATGTTTCTTAAATAAAAACATATCTATGCATGGATATACTCTGGTGTTTCAACCAACATTAATTATATCCTCTTGAAGTCTACTTTTGTGTTCTAAAAAGCTAATAAGACCTACACTACATCATAGCTAATAGGAGCATGGTGCTTGTTGCTTAGGCAACAGGATGAATAAATGCAGGTCAGAATGAGCTTCAAGAAAAACAAAAGCTAGAATATGATACCAAGTAGAAACTAAGCAGGTCTAACAGATTTTTTGCCACATTAATAAAATCTGTTTCTTAAAGTGGGCCAATCATATTAGTGTACTTTTAAGTTCATTATTAAATAAATTAGATTTAGGGATCAATAAATAATTTTTATAAAGGTGGAAATTCATCTCATGATTCTAGCAGCAAATAAATGGTGTATAACAGCATGTAAAGCAGTAATTAATGACAGCATTTTATGACTTGCTTCATTTTTATAATTAACTTTTCTACATGATAAGTCAGTTTTTTTTTTAATTCTATCTCATGAAGAAAGTATTTGGTTGGTTCATCTGAAATAACAATATGTTCTATTTTCTGAAAAATTATACATAATATTTGGAATTAGATAAAGACAATAATCTATGATTAGACCCTGGTTTTTTCACATATGTCAAGGATTTTTGTCTTCCAGATACATCTTGTAGTGTTTGTACGTAACTCACTCATGAAGTTTTTTATGATCTCTTCCCAAATTCTCATTTTTGATTAACCTTTTAGTTAGAGCTTTCAAAAAGGGATTATTTTTGTTTATAAGAATTTAACATTCAGAGGAAAATTAAGCTGAATTAAAATCTTTCAATGTGGCCAAATAACCCACGAATCCCAAGACCTCACTTCACATGGACCAGAATAAGTTCAGATGAGTGTTTGAGGTATGGGAATGAGGTGTCCTATTTTAATAGAGAAAGAATAAAGATGCCAAAATGTTCAGTAGACATAAGTAATGCTGAAGTGACTTTCATTCTGCTTGATAGTTTCTCTAGTTCTTAAGGCCATCTATTTAGTGTCCTAAGTCTGTCTTAAATCTGCTCAGTGTCCTAAGACTTTCACAGCAATTGAAGCACTTTCACTTTTTTCTTATTTCAATATTCACAATATCTGGTCTATTTAATCAGTGACAGTATTTGATAAACACAAGAAAAGCAACAGTAGCTGCATATCTCATTAATCAAAAATAAAAAAAACACCCAAGGCAACAAGACACTCATGAAGAGTTATAGGTATATAATTACTTAAAACTCACATGACTTACTAAATTTATGTCTTTCTTTTAAAGCTCACAGGCATATATATTTTTGGAGAAGGAGCAGAAATTTAATAATTTTAACACTCTTCAAAACAACAATAGTCCAACTTGGAGAAAAATAATCTGCAATGAAAATAGGAAGATTCTGACCAGTTCTAAGTATTTTTATGCTCAGTTCTGAATAAGCAAGCTGCAGGTGTCAGCCCCAGCAATTTTAGCTCCGAACAGCTAGTAATTATTTCTACAAGCAATTTGTGTGCTACATGTCTGTGCTGTGTTCTCTCTAAATTTAGGGACCAGTGATATGTGCGATGGGACCTTAAAAGCAAGGAAAGGTAATAAGGGCTGTGACGTAGCTTAACAAGGAGAACTGATGAGCACTGGGGGAAGACAGGAAATGATTAGAAAGCTAGACTGTTGCCTGCACACCGCCCCATCCTCCTCCTTCACCTGTATGCAGTACGGTGAGAAGTTTGCACACACTGGGTTTAGACTGCATGTAGACCAGGATTCAGGACATGAATGGACTTTGGGCATCAACTCCGCTTTCTAAATACTGACAGCTCATTAACCCAAGTGTGTGCTTTTCACAGAAAGTAACAAACAAATACTCCATTACTCTTCAATCAGCATGTGTACGGAAGTGCATGCTTTCCATAATTGACCATTTGAAGCCGTTTTTTAATGAACTGGTACTCCACAGCATTTAAATTGCTTTTGTGAACTATCATCAGGGAAAAAAATGTTCTTCACACCATCAACATAACAAATTGTCTAATTAATCACTAAAGGCTGATGTTCAAGTGAAATAATATGTTTTAGGATCCTAGAATGAGCTGAAGGGTGATATAATCTAACCAGGTTTCTAAGATTACAAATTTATGTTACAAATCACACAAAGAATGACAGGGAGAATATAAATGTAATCTTCTTTCACTGCCTATAAATAGTACTCTCACCGATTCATTCATATAACACGTATGTATAATGGATGCAAACAGATCTCATTTTGCAGTAAGTGTCTATATGTATACACTAAGTTCAGTCCTAAGGGCATCCAATTTTCTGATGCACTCACATATAGAAAACTGGTCAGTTTCGGTGCAAATCCGGCTGCCTCTGAGCTATGTAAGACACATAAGAAGCAAAGACAGACAAAAGGCAGCTCCGTGGACACAGAGAGCATCTTACCATAAACTGCACATTGTCAAATCCATTAGCCATCAGGTGGTTCTCGTACTGAGGTAGCCCAATGCTTTCCAACCATTGTCCCACTGTTTGGACGGGGCATCTGGGTCCTGTAAGAGGATGAAGAGGGAAGCGTTTAAGCAGGGAGTAGCCGTCCACGGGGTAATAGCGGTAGTCCTGGGCTGAGAGGTGGCATTGCCACATCATGCTCCTGGGAAAGTTGCTATCAAAGGAGCCCGCCAGCTTGACAGATTAATGTTCTCAGCGAGACAGCAAAGTCAGAAGTAAAACATAGTTTGCCAGGCAGGCTGTGGAGTATGACTTGATTCTAGCTCCACATTTCTTACATATTAATCTTTACTACCGACCAGTACGTCACACAGCCCCCAAAACCAGGCAGCAGAAGAAGGCATATCAAGCTGTCAGCTTAGGCTGGTCTGCGTTCTATGTGATTGTTGGAGTACTCCACAATGAGCAATGCACGGCCAGCAGCCAGAATTCTTTTTATCAAGTACTCCTACACTCATCAGTATGCAGCTCCATGCTCCTTGCTCCCCCTCGCTCGCTCCCCTTCATTACCCAGCCCAGGCTACACCTCGCATTTTCAATAATAGCCATCAGATAAGGCAGATTTTTTTTGTCTGCAAGCTGTAAGCCTGCTGCTGCTGCTTCCTCCTACACAACCATCCAAGCGTCAATCTTGAATGATGAGAGCAGTCAAAACAAATGCAGAAAATAGCAAGACTCAAAAGCAAACCAAAGTGCTTAAATCTGAATTGAATCTTCATACTGGTTATACATTACCGAGCTATTTGTTGTGGAATTTTATGTTTCAAAAGACACTAGGAAATGCAAAGCTTGAACTGTAGCTTATAACAGAGCTCACTACAGGTTCCCTTTTCCCCTTTTCCTTTTTCTTTTTTCTTTTTAAAATGCGGCACGGATAAATGTTTCTGATCTAAAGCTTTACAGAGTTGGGGGAATAATTACTCTCTTTCTTTACCATACTGTATCAAAATGAACCTCTTTGAGATTTTTTTTTCCTTTTTGAATTACTGCAACAACAGAAACTACATCGTAATCTTGAAGTCAAGATAATTCATTCCTTGTTTGCTAGGGCTTCTTATAAACAAAAAATATCATATCATACCCCTCTGGTATTTATAATCCAATCTACCAGGGTTACCATTCTAAAATAGCTAGAAAGGTAATATTAACTGGGTAGAATTTTTTAATAAAGAAGATGAGCCCTAACCAAAAATAATTCAAGAATAACAGATGTAAATGTGTGAGTTTTACTGAATGGCAGACAGACTGAGTAATTTATTTAATAATTGAGAGAAGGCAGAGATTAATAATAGAACCCATAGGACTACATCATTGAAAAACAGACTCTTAAGATTGGGAGAGAGCTCACAGGTTAGCCTAACCACCATACAAAGGTAGGATTCCCTGTTACAGTGTCCCTGGAAGAATATCATCCAACTTCTAATGGTGCCTGTGATAACACTCTTTACTCATCAAAAGCCTCTCTCTATTAGGAAGATATTTTACTTCCTACCTCACTCTTACTGTCTGGCTCCAGCTCTGCCTTTGGAGTTACACAGATTGAGAACAGTGACTCTTCCATGTAAAGTGCTTTAAAAATTAAAGATAACTTTCTCACCCTCCACCCTCAGACAGGGCTGGGCACATAGTAAGTGCCCCTGAATATTTATTGAATAAATTGTGACAACATTTTTCTCCTTTCTTTAAATCTCATCTGCTTCCTTTCTCTCTTTAAAGACATTGTCAGTCTCCCTGGCACACAGACATTAAACCTCAAAACAGATTGTACCTCTCTTTCACTGCTGACACCAGTCCCCAAGTTCTAGTCATCCTTTACCACAGTGTCACCCATTCTCTTAATTCTGCTTCCGGTTTTATGTTTTTGCCATCTACTTTAATTTTGTTCCCTTAGTTCCTGCCCACCTCGCCTAATGCAACAATGGTGTCTATACTGATCTTCCTACCTCTGCTATTTAAAAAATCTAACTTGTACATGATGTCACATAATCTAAGACACAGTTTTGGTGATTACTTCCTGTTTCAAAACCCTGCTGTGGTTTTCTATTGGCTCCCAACTACTTCCTGTTTCAAAACCCTGCTGTGGTTTTCCATTGGCTCCCAACCCCTGTGATGACATTTTGGGGTCTTCATGGTGACTGTAAATCATCTAACTTTATTCCCCCTTTCCCTACACAGCTTTCCCAACTCCCCAGCAAGGGGCTGACTTTTGATCTCTGAAGGGAAGCTGTAATGTGCTAATGTGCTCTGAATGGTTTTATTATGTCTCTGAATTTTTACTCATTTGTTGGCTTTGGATCAGATGCCATTTTCGTTATTGTAATCTCTTGTAAACCTCCTTCTCTATTTTAAAGGGCATTTTCAGACCTATTATAACAACTCTTTGCCATTTTCTATGATAGCTGTTTGTGTACAAGAGTCATTCCAGAAAGCAGGGACTATGCCTTGCTAACATTGCACGTAGTAAGTATTCAGTGTGTATCTGCTGAATAACATGATACAATCCCACAGTCCAAACTACACAACGTCCTCTTATTTCCAGATTTTAAATTTTTATTTTTTAAAAACCCATCTCAAGTCTCTGAATTCTTTGCTAAAAAGAAGGTATCATAGTTTTTAAATAGAATTTTCAGGTTTGGGTTTTTGTTCACCATGCTCATCCTCTTTTGAATAAGCCTCTCTGAGTGGATTGCATTGTACTTGATTACAATTTATCTCTGATTGGTTCCAGATCTTTTAAGAAGATCAAAGAATTCGTACAAGTGTATGAATCAGTTTTAGTGGATTCTAGTTGCTTGACATTACCTGCATGAGAAGCTGAAAACAAGATTCCTTTGTCCCTGGCTAAATGTAACACTGTTACCATGTCAAGTTAAAGAGAAGTCTTAATTATAGTTTTTCTTAAGATCTCATCCACAACGTTCGAAAAGAAAAGAAGGAAGGAAGGAAAGAAGGAAAGAGGGAAGGAAGGAAGGGAGGGAGGAAGGAAGGACGGAAGGAGAGAGAAAAGAAAGAAGGAAGGAAGGAAGAAAAATGGAGCAAACAGGACAATGGTGGTTTTTGGCTTGGCAAGGCATGTGCTGACTGGCCAGCTCCTCAAATCCTGTCTTATCTTTTAATATGCAAAGCAGAGACCAAATATCTAGCAGAGCACCATTTCATTCCTTAGGAATTAAACCATCATTGTTAAATAAGTGAATAAGTGACATTGGAAATGGCTTTGTGAGATTTTGATTTCTTAATTTTAAGTTTGATTTCTTAATAAGTAGAAAGGGGGTGTATTTCAAAGTTCAGATTGCTCAGAGAAATTACTGATTATTAACCACTTCACAAATCTTTATAGACTTCTTGAATTTTATTCTTTTATCTATTCAATCCCCCAATTTCTGTTCAGTAATTCTCATATGTTGACAAAAGATTATAATGCAGGAGGGAAGTGAGTTGGGAGAGAGTGAGGCAGGGGTAAGTGGTCTGTGAGAGAAAGGAATTAAAACGAGACCCTCAGCCATGTTGCTGGTTTCCAGTTTTGTGAAAGTATTTTCTCATGAGTCAAACTTCCAAAAGAATCGTGATTCAGGCCTGACGGTCACTTCCTTACAGTGTTTTAATAAATTTCATCGTGTTACTTAAGGCATATCAACAGTTATTGGGTAGGCACTTTTGTTCAAGTAGAACTTCTTTTAAGCTCCAAAAGTGAGATACCAGGAGGGAAAGAAGAAACTGACAGCTACTCAGGGCTCCTATGTCCCAGCATTGTGGTGGGGATCATTATTCTCATTCATAAGGAATCTGAGGCTCAAAGTATATGATGAGACCAGGAATTTTTTCTTTGGTAGTTTTCTGAAAACATAATTCCATGAGTTCCACTCCCAGAATGGCAGTGGTAGAGGCACCATAAGGCAATCCCAGTCAACAAGCATGACTGCTGAAAATTGGAGAAAAATTCAAAACAAAATAACAAAACCCAAACCATATCCCCAAACTTCAAAACCCAAAACAATAATGAAAACAACCATTCAAAGCCTCTGCAGGGTCCGAGCCACACAGCAGATTAAGGAATACTTTTTTTTTTTCTTTTTTTTTTAAATCTACTAAGACTTGGTGAGATGAGAAAGATTCTTGTGGCAACTGAGCCATGACTTGTTATCACTGTCCCCTCCCACCCCAGTCATCTCCACAGATGCTCACTTGGGATGAGTGCGATCAGGGGACTGGCTCCGGCTGGCCAAAGGATATCTCAGGTTATGTACTTCATCAAAAGGGCAGGCCAGCCTTTCCAATCTCCTCTGACTCTGCATTGCAGAGGTTAAATTCCCTGCAAGTGCAGCGAGAGGTCAGGGGCTTCCTTATCCACCCGGCCCCTGTTCATGGACATGGGTAGAGAGTTTATCCCAGTTTTAGTAGGTCAAGAGCACTGCCTGTTTAGAGGGTGAAGTTCCATGCTCAGAAAGGTAAGCTGAGAAGACCATGGGCTATTCTCCTCGTCCTCTGCCTAGAGCAGCAGCTCAAAGCTTTTGCCTAAGAGGAGAATCAGTCCATAAGAACAGAAAACTACAGTTGTCCCCCAAGAGACTGACTTTATTTGAAACAGAGGATGAGGAAGTTCAAGCCTAAAAGTGTTGCCAAAAACTTTGGACATTTTGGTGATGAACAGCTAAAAGGAGATTAGTATACTCCATTAGGCAACAAGTTCAATGGTATCCCAGCTAGTTTAAGAGAACTAGGGAAAGAGACAGTGAGACGAGCCCTTCTGTCAGCAGAATAATACCAAAGACCAGTTTAAATTTAATTGGACCAGATTCTGGAGCAATTCACTCCTCAGAGAATTGATCAAAACAATAAAATGATCAGAATTAGTGGAGCCTACGATCTAAGTGCACGTTAAATGAGGTAGACAACAGAAAGATTACCAAAAGAGATAAAAGAGAGCCTTGTTATCACCGCTGTCATCCCAATATGACTATTGCCCATGGCCCATGGCAGCATCCTTGAATGGATAAATACAATGTGGTATATCCATACAGTGGAATATTACTTGGCAATA